TGGTGCTTCAGGAACTGGGAATGAGTCTCAAGGGGCTGTAAGCCTGCCCTTTTTGCTTCCCTATCAGCCTTTTGATTTCCCAAGGAGACTTTAGACACGTCTCTCTGGTGCTCCGTACAATGCATGGCTGCGACCTGCTTGGCAAGATGGACTGTTTCTAGGACAATTTCTAGCTTGTGCCTTATAGATAGTTATTAGTTAGCAAGCTCATTTCTTTCCAGATTACAACACAGGGATGTAGCACCAGAATGGCATATTTGGAGTCTGTGTATATATATTTAGATTTTTGCCTTTTCCTAATATCAATGCCCAAGTAAGAGCTATTAACTCTGCCTTTTGAACCGAGGTCCCAGAGGGAAGAGGTTTTGCTTCAGTGACCTGTTGTGAACTGACAACCATATAATGTGCTGTTTGATATTCTTCTTAGACAAAGCTACTTGCTCATGTTCTTGGTTTTAGCAGCCTGAATTAAGACAACTACCATTCCCTAGGACTGTAGTTAGTGGGAAAGTACAACAACCTAATTCAAGCCATACTGCTAGAGGTCCCAACCCTTCAAGAACATAATTATGGATCACACTACCAAGCAAAAACTACAGAGTTATGCTGGCTCTATATAAAAGCACTATGAAAATAGTAGTAGAAGGCAGTTACATATACCAGCAATGGTGAGTGACAAAGTGTAGAAATAAGAACTGTTATAAGTAATTCCTTCTTATTTTGTTCTGAATGTGTTCCTTATTGCTCTAACGATAGTTTGTTTGTGAGTAACACCTAAATCCTTTGATTCTAAATAAGGAAAAATATTCTCAGTAACCTGGGTGCACCTGACCCAATAAACTGAAAGACATCAAGAGTATTACTGAGGTTTCTCTGAGGAAGAAAATATTCTGCTTGTGGACTGAACATCTTCTACATAAGAATTTCCAACTTGCCTTTCTTTATGGCCTGCCATACAAATTTTAGACCTGTCTAACCAGTCTCCAGAATTGTACAAGGCAGTTCCATGTAATACCTATCTACCTATTTATCTACACACATACAGTATGATCAATAATATGGCGAATGTTTCATTTTTTGTTTTAAAGAATTGAATATAGTAAAAGATACATTGCCATTAATTTCTCAAAATACTCCCCTTCAGCTTAAACACACTATTTCTGCAAATTTCTGAAGTAGTTCTGGAGGTCTTCTTTCATAAGAATCTTTAGCTGTGCTATTGTGGCTGCCTCAGTGTTCTGGATCAAATCCTATCATTCACCTTTCATGGCCACTTTGATATCGGAGAAGTGCCAGAAATCACACATTGCCAGAGAATAAGGTGTATGACACACTATGAAGTCATTGTGGGTCTGCTTTTCCACTGATGACAGCACTCACTGTATTTTAGGTCACATCTCTCAACTCTACCCATAAAATACAACTTTCGGAATTGCTTCATAAAATGGCAAGAATGATGGAATAAACACATTTGAGTAAGGGAGGATATTAATTGGAATTATAGAGAGGTATTAATTGGAATTGAGGTATTAATTGGAATTGTGTCTTTTTACTATAATAAATGTTTTAAACATTCACTGCATATTTTAATCATCTCTTGTAAATATACCTCAGAATTCTTTTTCTGATGGAAGTCTGGCTGATAGATTCCCAATTTCTTTTGTAAGACTAGATGTCCCTGAGACCAGTATTTGACAAAAAACCAGGAAAGAAGAAAATTATTAACCATAATTCCTCAAAAATATAAAGATGAAATTCAAAATAAAATTTTAGTAAATCAAATATAGAAATATAAAAAAGAGAATTACATTATGATTAAGGTTTATTCCAGAATGAAAGTTGATGAAATACTGAAAAGCAATCACTGAAATTCAACACTTTAACAAAATGGAAAAGCCATAGCATCATCTCAATGGTACAGCAAATGCATTTGATAAATTCTATATTCATATGTGGTAAACATTCTCAGTAATTGAGAACTGGGAAAGAACTTTCCTAAGTGTGATGAAGAGCATCTATAAAAACCCACAGCAAACATTCTACTTAGTGCTGCTTCCCTCGAAGGATGGGAGCAGGGCAAGAATATTCACCCTTATGATATCTAGCCATCATTGAACATGGAGGTTGTAGCCACTGCAGTAACACAAGACAGGAAATAAATAGCATAACAAAGTCCGCCTTTCATATATGACATGATTGCTTATGTTAAATCATGACTCTACCATCTGATAGTTTGTGATTCGTGGCTAAATATTTAGTGTAACAATCTTTTTTGCCTTCAACTGTAAAATGGTGATACTTAGTTATCAGCATGGGATGAGCTGTACTTAGCTGTACACATGTACTTAGCACTGTATTGGCCTCATAAAATATTAGTGTTAATAATAATGGTGGTGGTGGGGCTGGGGATTTAGCTCAGCAGCATAAGCGCCTGCCTTGCAAGCAGGCAGTCGTGAGTTCGATCCCCGGTACCAATAAAAATGAAAAAGACAAAGAACAAACAAACAAACAAACAAATAATGGTGGTGGTAGTAGTAACTTACACAATACACGACTTTTTCCAGAGTTTTAAACTGTCTAGGCCCCAATTTCCTCATCTGTTAAACAATGACAACAGTGTTGCCTACCTGTTAGGGTTTTATGAGGATTATGAGCAAATACATATAAAGTACTTAGAACATTGCCTGACACAAAATATGTGTCAAAAATGTTAGCCATTTTCATTATTATCTGATGGTGTGTTTCATACTGAAGATAATCTCACATTGTTTAATTTTTCTCTGAGAAGCCATTCTAATATAACGAATGTGGTGCTCAATCTTCTTGTTGAGAGATACAGAAGTTCTCTGGAAGCCTAAAGTAATTTGGATAAATTTAAAGAATATTTTTAGGTAACTATGACAATCATGGCTAGGAACATTTATATATTTTAATCTCTTTTAATCTTTCAGTCAGCTTTTCAGTGGGTTCTACACCCAGGCCCATTTTATAGGAAATTGAGACACAGAAAGATTAAAAACTTTGCCCAATGTTCTATTGCCAATAATGGGCTGAATAAAATATCACTTCTAAGTCTCCAAGTCTAAGCATTTTCAATGCTACTTAGTCAAGTACATGAATAACTCCCAACTAACCTCACCAGATTGTGTTTATTCTTTGTGTACAGATAAAATTAGTTAGTCATGAGCATTTTTTCTAACTGTCCAAATTAACACTGCAAGAGCATGTCAAATGAATCCAAACTGTTGGTAGGGGCAAGGAAAGGGAGACAGAGAAGGTGTCTCTTCATTCCAAGCGATTTGGATAAACATCAGCTTTTGAGACTGTGCTGTAGTCAATGGAGTCTTTGCCAGGAAAGACAAAAAGAAGCAGCATCTAAAAATGTAACCCATATTGGAGCTTGCACAAAGTCGCTTTGCAGTACTTATTGCTACATGTTGGTCTAGAAGAAATATTTCATTAACTACACGCTTGCTGTAGATTTTATCTAGTTACCATAGAAACTTTGGAGGAAGAGCTTTTTTTTTAACCCTTGGACTAGGTTTGCTACCCAGCTTTATAGCTCTATTTAAAGAACCCTCTTGTTATTTTAAACTCTTCCCCTTCTGCTCTCCTGTTTTCTCCTCCTGTTAGACAGCTGGACAGAACCTGTTTGTGACCTTTAAATTGCCACTTTATTGTGATTTCAAGGCATAATTTCTAAAAGTGGATGGTGGTAGCCAATAGTACTTTTCTGTGTTTATCCTTCACATTGGCTCTAGTTGTAACAGACTTCTGTATTTTTTAAGCTGAAGTTTCACTTCATCAAAAATAAAAATGAACTGTCTTGTTTCTATTACCTCTGCCAAATGAGCTTCCCTATCCGGCCCAAGCTTTTATAGTTGGTATCGCAAGCCTCCACCTAACTCCCCAGACAGCTTTCAAATTAGAAGTGTCTGGTTTCTAAATGCCCTGGTCCTCTTGTCTTCTCTCAGCCCTCTTTGCACTTGCAGCCTCCAGGAACTTCCAAATACACTATTAGAACTGTTTGCCTGTAATGCTTTCCCTTCTTTTGGGGACACGCACAGAGCAGTTCACAGCCCTTGGGCCACCAGATTGTGGACTCCTGCCTGTCTCCCTGCTGGGTGACATCTTTCTAAACTGTTTCTTTGTTCTCCTGCCATGGGACTTATTTGGTAACGTGGAAATTCTCAGCTGGGTGCAATTGATATTTTTTAATACAGAGGAGAGGTAGGTGTTGGACACCTGGGTTGTATTTAGTGAGGTCAGTCAGGGCCTGGATTTGTTCTGGTTTGGAGAGAAGATTGAGGACTGACTGGGAGTTGGATATTTCTGGAAACTAGAAAATACAACTATGGAGGGTAGAGGATTGCTTCTAGGCTCTTTTAATTTTGATCACAGATGGAGATATGATCAAGTACCATGGCTGAGAAGAATTTCACATAAAAACATGCATTCTTCTACAAAGCCAGATTCAATCTCCTAGTGAGAAAGTAGAGGGACTCACTGCATCCAGGTCATGACAGCCACTTTAGCAAGCCCATGGTAAGGACAAAAACTAGGTCTTATAACTATCAGCAATCCCACATCACAGGAGTGCTACCCCTCCGTGTAGTATGTTTGTTTTAGAGCCCCGACTCCTCAACCCTTGCATTGTGAGGCTCCAGAGAAAAGCCTGGATGACTCCCATGAGCACTGAGGAAGAAAATGACCCACTGCAGCCTGTTATGTTTCTGTGATTACTAATGAATGACCAAGATAAGCCAGTTCTTCTCTGAGGTATTCCCTGGCTCTAGGCAGACAAAATCCAGGGCAAGCCATAGATGTGGACAGGAAGGGATTTCAGTGAATCCTGGGGTTATTTGGGACTGCATACTTGTTTACACATTTCTGAATGTCTTTCATGCCTTTGACAAAGCCAGTACACAGTGGATGTTGAAAATATATTTGTTAAATATGAACTAAGGTGTGTATTTTTTTGCTATAAATCATAGATTCCCTTTTTAAAATAGTAGCTTTATTGAGATATATGTGTCCCCATAAAATTTATCCCTTTAAAGTATACAATTCAAGTTGTAACTGAGTGATGGAGCACTTACCTAGTATGATCAAGGCCCTGTATAGCATTCAATACATAGCAATGATTTTTAAAAAGGAAGAAGAGGTATAATGTACAATTTGGTGGTTTTTTTTTTTAGAATATTCAGAGTTGTGAAATTAACACCACTATTTAATTTTAGAATATTTTCTTCTCCCTCTCCCCTCAAAAAGTGCTGAGGGTTTCTCCATTTTTTCCTCCCCAACTGCTGGAACCACTAATCTATTTCCTGTCTCTGACCATAGATTTCTGATCACTGCATTTAATACTTTTATGTATCTCTATGTAAGTGTACAAAGCAAAATTTCCACCAGGGTCATGCTATTCAGAAAGCATTCCTGTGTTTTCCTGGTTCTAGTTAATCCAGTCTTGTCCTTTCTATCACTTAAAAGAACAGATGGCTTAAGCCTTCTCCAGGCCAAGGCTGTGTCTCTGTATTGCCAAATATGTTGATGAATACTGAAATTCAGCCCAGAATCACAATGAAAGCAAATGTGAAATACCTGGACATGGCCAAAATAATTCAGGCATTTCCCCAAGCTCTAGCACCATTCAGCAACCACATGGGTGACTCATTCTGGTGCAGTGACTCTCAGCTGAAATGGAATTTGGACATGCCAGGTCAGGCATGGGGTCAGACCTGGTCTGAGAAGGCAGCATTGAAGATGGACAGCAACATTAGCCATGGCATTCAGATGAGAAAGTACAAAGCACTGTTTCAGAGGGAAGCCCCAAATCTGAAACCCAGGGTGTGAGGTTGCAGTAGGAGTTGAGTCCAGACTCGAGTTCAGGAAAGGGAATCAGCAGCCAGGGTGGGCAGCCAAGTACTTGACACAAGAACCTGTGCAGCTGGAAAGGAAGGACACAGTGGTTCTGAGAACTGCTGCCACCTCAGTTAGAAATATTAGTTTATTCCAGCAACTCTTTCCTGAAAGCACTGTAAAGACATTGTAGAATTTTTGACCCTGGGAACTGAGAATCACTGATGGAAAGTAACATAGAGGAGGCACTTCTTCCTCCAATAGCTTAGCCTCTCTAGAAAATCAGAGTTGGTGAGAAACATTCTCAGTTCCAATAATATCATAGTGCTAATGTGTGACTCTACCAGACTAGAATGTAAGCTCCTTGTAAGGAGAGTCCCATGCCATTGCCAGTTTTGTATCCTGGACATCCAGAAACACGTTGGCACAAAAAAAAAAAAAAAAAAAAAACACTTAATAAAGCATTATTTACTGAATGTGTAAGTTTCTAGTACCCATTTCCAAGATTTTCTACAGGACTCAGTGCCTATAAGAGTAGGACTCCTCCTCTAAAAATCACTGTGTTGAGAGGACAGTTAGGATAAAATGTAAGTGTGTACTTTTAAACATGCTACTCTTATCAGAGGAAAAATGGTACTGCACATTCAAGGAGGAAATCTGTGAGCTGAATAAAGATGTTTTAAAAAGCACAGAACTCTTATGTAAAGCTGTGGAAGCAAGCTCTTGATGCAGGTATAGAAACATCAAGTATATACAAAGGCACGCTCACCAGCCTTTACTCCCAAGCCTGCAGAGGACATCGCTTATCCAGTCTAGTTATCCTTTCTCTTTGGTGACTCTATGTTTCATATAGTTTTACTGGCTGGTTGTTTTTGTACAGATGTCGTCTATTAGCCATCAGTAAGCTAGAGCTCAGGGCTGTGAAAGAGTGTGAGGTCACCTAAGAAAGATGAGAGAGGGACCTGGGAGGAACCCACTGGAAACCTGAGGATTACAGGTTGTTAGGTACCTGCAAAGCAGCTCCATCCTAACTCTAGGAGTGACCCTGGAGCTGGATCTGAAGCCCAGTCAGATAAAGGTTCTATTTTCCTAGAGACTCCAGAAACTTAAACACCCAGAGCCCAGAAACCAGGAGACCTGATATTTTAATCAGCTATCCCATTGCTGGAGCACAGTACCCAGCACCTACAATTTAGAGGAGGAGAGGTTTAATTTGGTTCACAGTTTCAGAGGTTTCAGTTCCGATCAACAAGCTGCAAGGGAGGAACATCACAGAAAAAGGGCATGGTGGAGCAAAGCTGGTTAGTTCATGGCAGCTGGGGAAAAGAGCATGGGAACGATGCCAGAGAGGAAGAACCAGAAATAGACCAGAAGGTCACACCTCTGTGATCTACCCAAACACACCCAGACGGATGCTCCACCCATCTCCTGTGTGTTTCCAAGCCAATCAGATTGACACAATCAAGCTTCACTGTCACAACTATGCAAGTCAATCACCTCAAAGACTGAGCTGTACGTCCTAATAAGAAGAGGACTAAAACAGAAATTTCCTTGCTAGCTCGGTGACTGGGTCTGCCCAGGGGACTTGCCTCAGCTATAAGCTTCCTGCTCCCCCATCTAAGCTCCCCTTCCACGCAGGAGATATTGGTATTAAATAATTTGACAATGCAAACTGCATCTGCCTTATGTTTAGGGTAACAGGAAGGTAGGACTTGCTTAAGAAGTGAAGGGATCCTCTTTAAGTTCCAGGAAAGCTTGTTTAGAGGAGACCATCTTCCTTCTGTGATCACAGAAGGGGACAACAGGAAATTATACTCATGTGCTATACAATAACATTTCAGTCAGTGATAGCATACACAGTGGTGGTCCCATGAGATAATATCACCTAGGAATATAGTAGCCATCCGGGTTTATGTACATATACTCTAGGATGTTTTCACAACAACAAAAATTTCCTGATGATGTATTTCTCAAAAGGTGTTCTCATCATTCTATGACACACGACCACACTTTTTCAAGTTTTGCCTTTTGTTGGGAACTCTGTGAATCCAAAATACTTGCACCCGTCTTTGTACCATAGCTCTGTAGGACATGGGGTCTCATTTTCCTTTTAGGTAGAGGTATAGAAATGATACATCATGAGTTGTCTGATACAGGAAAGCAGCCAGATCAGAGCACAGGCTCTCGTGTTCAGGCGTTGTCCTCACTGAACGATGCTGTCTCATCTAGGTTGACAGTAGACAGGCTGCTGAATCCTCCAAAGCCTGATGCCCAACAGTGACGTCACAGAGTAATCAAAACAGCCCTGCAAAGAGTGGGTAGGAAATGCAAATGCCTAATTTGAGTTTTATATCGGATTTTCCCTGAAAAGCCAAAAATATTTTCTTGCCTTATTGAAGTTACTCAGTATGTAAAACTGTTTTTTATATCAATAACATCTTTCTAATATGCACATCAGAAGATCCAGTGCGTGGCTGTCCCACCATTTCTCAGAGGCGGTATGGTACAGGAAGAAGAGCCTGAGTTTGAAGTTAAGAAGACCCAGTGCAGCTTCAGCATTTACTAACCACACAGCCTTGGGTTATCATTTTCATTCTCTTAAGGGTTGTTCTGGAGATTAACTGTTTGTGTAAACAGCTTAACACATAAAACCTAATCAGTAATGCTAAAGCCAGCTGTCCTGGCCAAAAATGGAAGCTGGTAGTTTGGTAGGCAACTCAGGATTTGTCAATGTAGAGATGATTCTGGACTGCTGGATCTCCAGATGTCTAGGCCCGAGTCCTTTCTCTAATCCTCTGCTGTCTCCGGCTGGGGATAGGGTAGGTGTGGAGGAGGCACTTAGAAGGTGGGTAGGTCCTTGGGTCCTAAATGGAGGCAGGTAGTTACACCTTGCCCACAGGGCTGCTTTAGTGTTTATTTAAATGAAGCACAATGTGGAGAGGACCACAGTCACTTACTTTGTTGGGAGGTGACAGTGGCATGAGAGCCTGAGGGGCAGCAGGAACTAAGGAATCACCAGGGAGCCACACCACAATGGCAACCCCTGCTGCCAGGGAGTGCTCTAAAAAGGCAACTAGGCTGGTGCCTTGATGAACTCCCTCTCTAGCTAGGAAGCACAGCATGTATCAGAGGCCTTTCCCAGCCTCCACCCTTCCTCATGAGCTTGGTGTGCCCCTATCAGCTGGACTCGCCTGTGGCCTTTCCTCAGCCAAGGTGACACAACGCCAAGAGGTCAGATCCAACCAACAGCAACAGCAATAGCAAACAGCCCCCAAGTGGTGATGAAAAGAAGAACTAGGGAGCAGGCTGGCTGTCCAGGAATGATGCCAGAATGATAAATCATGGCCTTGAGGTCCCCAACCCTCCAAAACAGGAGCTCAGCTGGGAATAAGTGGTGGTGCAAGGGGAACAGTTCCCCTCCCCTAGCATATTTTTGAGAAGTGGCACTTTATTGATATGAAGATGGCTAAGACCATGATGAAAAGCTATTGGCAGAGAGTGTGAAGGCCTTAGAGAAGATAGTCAAAGACTGGCATATTTTGAAAATTAATTCTTTCTCGGTCACCACTGTGTGCCTAGAGCTCAGCACAGCCTGCGGCCTCAGTCCAGGAGGGATTTAAAACTCTGCAAGGTAGCAAGAGGAAAACTGTCCTTAAGCCACCTACCTGGAATGGAAAACTGTGCTGAGAGGAGAAAGTGACACTGAGGAGTGGGCAGGCACACAGTCCTAGGGGAATCAAGGGAATCAGGACAGTACCAGAGCCATCTAACCCATCTTCTCCCTTCTTACCCGACACCCGGTGCTGAACACTGGTTCCAGGAGTAGGCATTTGTAGAGTCAAGGAAATCTGGCCTCCTGGGCACTTAAAGTAGGAGTCTAGGGGAGTCCAGCCTGGCCCTTATTTCTTCAAAATGTTTTCCTTTCCTTCTCTTTTTCATTCACTTCTCTGACCCAGGTCATGAAAACTCCTTCCTGAATAGTCACAATAGCTACTATGATATTCTCAGATCACGATCTCCCTGTCCAGCTCTCGCTGCCATTGACCATATGATCTTCTTCCTAAACAGCTTTTGTTATCATAAAATGCCTTTACTCACAGTTTTACACTGATGTCCTACTTGGCAGGGTCTGAAGCCCAAGCCTCTCTGCCTAGCTTTCTAATTCTTCCATAATCCAGCTCTAGCTTCTTTTTTAGGTTATTATTTATTTTTTTTAATGGTCCCAGGAATCAAACTCATGATCTTGTGCTTGCCAGGTAGGCGCTATGCCGCCGGGTTCATCATGGCCGTATCCAGCTCTAACTCCTGCAGTTTATAGAAAATCTGGACTCTTCCAATTCCTGCTCCTCCCAGTTCCTACTCATGCCAGACTTGTTCCTGCTTCTATTTTTTGTTTCTCCTTCCTGCAATGCCCTCTTCATCCTGTCTAATCAGATTCTGATCCTCTTTTATCCCTTCAAGACTTACCAGATTTCTTAGGCCTCCGTGATCTCAGTGTCAGCTGAAATTGGCAGCTCTTGATAATTTTCTATCTCATTTGCCTATCATGCAAAGGATTTCAAAGCAGAGCATCCCTTGTAAGTTTCAAAAGCCTCCCCAGACTCAGGACAGAGTATAGCATCTGCCTATAGAGGGTCACAATCATACTTGTTGGTTTTGCAAAGACCAAAGTGCCTTTGAATTATAGCAAGGTCCTTCATTCACACAAGTGTCTATTGAGCATCTACTGCATGCTAAGGTCTGTGCTAGTGATTAAACTGTGAAAATGACAGGTAAGGTCCTTGACCTTAGTGAAGTTGTAGATCAGTGGAAAAGAGACAAGTTTTAGTACAGACTGGCCTAAGGGTGCCCTGATAGTGGACAGATAGCATGCTATAGGAAGACATAATGAAGGCTCCCAACCTTAGTCTTAGGAAATAATGGAAGGCTTCTAGAGTTAACCTTTCTTAAAATAAGACTTTGAGTTAGCTGGTTAGTGGTACTAGGGAAAACGAGGGAATAATAATACCTTAAAGTAACTGGGATTTAATGTTGCTTATTCATTTAGCAGGAATGTCATTTTGGTTTTCCTCTATTTACTTACAAGAACTTTATGTCAAAATAGTGATTAAATAGTAATGTAATTATCTGCCTGCCGATGTCTGTCTAACTATCTCTCTATCCATCTATCTACATATTCTCCATCTTGCTCCAAAAGGCATACAGACTGATTTAATGATGTTGCTTAACTAGAACTCAGTAGGAAAAATGAGTCAAATGGAACAAAAGGGCAGGAGTGTGGAATGGAAACGGAATGAGGCAAGTTTACAAATCAGCCAAGTTTACATCATAAAATTCTGCATATTGCTGGACATGACTAGGTAAAAACACAGATATCATCTTTGCATGCCTGAGATGTTTGGGACAGTGTTGCTTACCAACGAAGGCTAGGGAGGAAGGGAAGGAGAGCAGAATAGATTGGACATTTACTTATGGAACATTCCTCTTGTCCATTGGTTCCAGGCACTCTTACTATTCATAGCATTTCCTTTTCAACCCAAATGGGGGAATAATGTGACTGCCAGCTATCATGGATAAAATGAAGAGGCTGTCTACATACAAATCTGTACTCCCTTCCTATTACTGAGAGCCAGAGGGCTGAGGCCCATCCAGCTGGGTTTTCACATGTGCAGATTAGCAGGGCAGTTTGTTCTTTGAATAGAAAGAAGGCAGGATTTATATATCACTTATTTTCCTGAACTCAGAGTCACAGCCTGGATGTACTGGTATTTTATTATGCTGCTTCTGGATTATTTATTTAATATTGTTTCATTAAATTTTAAAGAACACGGTGGTTTTACAAATAAAACATGAAATGCCAGAGTGCAAAATGCATGGTTAAATTCAATAAATATTTTTAAGTTTCTGAAGGAGCTGAACAGGATATCTGGGTGTTTATGCAGGAGAATAGATAATATTTTGTTACTAAAGAGCCTTCTAGTCACATTGCAACCAATGAATGGAAAGGCATGGTGCTGCCTAGCAAACTGAGCTGTACCCTAATTTGTCAAAGTATAAACCTTCCATCCCTGTGCCGAGTAAGCGGCTAGACTTCAACATCTCATGCTAAGTATTCTGGGCACAAACATCAAACTCTCCTTTGTTTTCCGTGGGGATGGCAGGAGGCTGTGAAACAAACTCAAGGCCTCACAACTCTATTGACTGGTTTGGAAACAGGAAGGCCCTGGCTGCGATATTCAGCCACATTAAATGACCAGCATTATCCGGAGCCCTGCAACATGAGTTAATTGTGCTTGCAGGGCTTTGACGCTGGGAACACTGGAGAAAGGCTGTGCGTAATTAGGAGCTGGCCCTACGAAAAGGGCTTTTTTCACACCACACGTACAGTTTCGGTCCTCAGAGGAGAGTGCCAATGTGAGAAAGGGTAAGCCCCAAGGGGGATAGATTTATAAAAAACTTTGAGGATGTGTGGCTATCTTGTTGTGGTAACTTTGAGGTGGGGGGGGGGAGATTCCCAGTTAGAACTGAGGCCAGAACATTTAGAGAATCTAATAGAACTCTACTGGCGATCACTGTGCGCAGGGAACTAACTATAGGCTTCTGTGTTAGGGGACTGTGATGTGTTTTTCTAATAAATTCTTGCTGATCCAATGTAAATTGTTTCCGGGTACTTAAATGATTCAATGGCTTAATATTTCATTTTGATCTATGCTCTGCTCAGAAATTTTCAGACTTAAGCTGTGTGTCATTCAGGTTGGTTTCAAACCCTGAGGTGGCATTACTGAAATATTTCTTATCAGTGTTAATAAATAACTCACATTGTTCTTTAGAAAAAACAGGATCAGTCTTTTCAATGGCTTAGAAAAGGCTTGAAGTGAAAGTATGAAGATTTTTAGCACAATCCAGACAGAAACACAATGTTTTGAATGAACAGCCTCATGCCCATACTGCCAGTTTTTATTTGCTGAGCCACAGCTTTCCTTCATTCCTGTACCCATCAGCTTATAATTTTTTGATAGTCAAACACATTTGCTTTTATGAAGAACTCAGTAATCTGCTGGAGGTAACAAGTGTTCATTTTCTTTCCTTCCACCTTAGTGTAGCTTTGATTTCCAATGGAGCTGACCCATTATCCAATCTCAGTCACCTGCCCAGTGTTAGGTTCTATGCTGGGTGCTCTGAGCAAGTGTGTCTATTGTGATTTGATGGTAAGCAAACTCAGGACCTCAGCGTTTGAAGGAATCCTAAAATTTGGTCTCTCTGATCTGGAGTTCTTCCCCAACAGTAACATCATTTTTATCTGAAATCACGTTGCTTGGTGATGGGAGTCATCAAGATGAAGGGAGTCTGCCTACAGACAGTTGGCTGTAACTCGTCACCATGAAGGTCTCCCACACCTCATCCCAGTGATTATCCTTCTGCCATTCCATTCAACTAACCATACAGCTGTCTTCAAAAAGACCATAGCTCACGGTGTGTCTTTTCCCCCTGTTTAACTTTTAAATGCAGGTGCCCTGACTTAATCATCTTTGTATCTCCATTATCCCTGAAAAGAATAGGGGAAAAATGGGCAATACTTCCAACTTTTTATTTGGGCACTAATTCACCTCACTCTATCAGTCAACCAAACAAATCTACTTTACTGTTTTATAATTCCATCTACATTTCTCCAATTTGTGTGCAAAAAACAAAAACAAAAACAAAAAACAAAACCATGAAAGATTCTGTCAAACAGCTTTCTAAAATCCAAATTTCATTCCCCTGAACTTTGGGTTTCATATTTCAATAAAAAATGGAAATGAATTTAATTGGTGATGATCTATTTTTAGCGCATCAGTGTTAGAACCCAGTAATTATGCCTCCTCTCTTCACATTTTAACAAGTTATTTGTTTCATAACCCATTCTAGAAATTTGATGGTGGCTGGCACAAAGATTTCCAGACTGTGGCTTCTAGAATCCACCTCTGAAATTCATTCCTTGATAACTTGGTCAAAGATAGTTAAAATAGTTCCTCAGTCATATTGTTACATTATTTTGTTTGGAATGTAATTTATCTGAACTTATTGACTTGAATAGATTTCACATAGTTACCTGCTCTCCAGATTCACAATTGAGGCTTTATCCTACCTCTACAGGGCATGTCTTCATTGATAATTGGAAACAAAAACCAATTCATGCCTGTCTCCTGGGATAGTGTAACTCTGGGGAGTGATGACAGCCTGGAAGAGAACTACTAAAGCATTTCTGCCAGACAGCAATGGATGTAGATTTACCAGGAAATGTAATGAAGCCTAATCTTCTGAACTCTTCATTAATTTTGTATTCTTTTTCTTGTAATTAGTCTTTCAAAGTGTGTAATCTGGCTCTTTCTCTGGGTCTTTTGGAAGCTCATGTATTATGCCTCTATTGGCAGTGTTTTTCTGGGCATTGTAATGACAAGCCTATTAAAGCAAGAAACGAAAATGCAGGCGTATTTTGTGGGCTGACCAAGAAACTTGAAATACTCCATGCTGATGCCTGTCTCCAAGACTTGGAAATTCACTTGATCTCACCATGCTTTTGCTCTCTTATGTACAATGTAGGGATAATACTACTTTTAGAGTCAATGGTTGACAGTTATTCAGTGTTGACCTTTTAAGTATATCCCACCTCACAACTTGATAAATAAAAATAAATGTTTATTCATATTAAATTTGTATATGCACAAAAATTAACTTGCTAGCATAAGTATTTACTCTGTGAAGAAATTAATAAACAAATCCAGAATAAAGAAAATAAGATTTGCAGTCAAGAGAACTGATTTCTGAACATAAGCCAGGAAGTAGCAGAAGGTTGAGCATATCCTTTAATCCCCAGGAGTTCTAGTTTCCTCATCTGGAAAATAGAGATGATAACTGGGAAAAATACAAATCCTGAATGTCTCATGAGTTTTTGCAAATGCTTTACAAATTTTGGAAGTTATACATAGATGCATGTTATTATCCTTACACCATTAAAATTATGATTGGCTTACAAAAAATTCAATCTACCCAAAATTTTCTAAACCATAAACTACATGTACTATTGACTGTCATACAGGGCATGAGTCAACAATTTAGTGAGTAACAATACCATATCAAATGCTATAAAGATAGATATTAATTAAAAAGAAATAAACTATACAGCTTCTCTCCAATCTACAGCAATTTTGCATTCTGCACCCTCTAAATGCTAATGAGGTGGGGAGTTATACTAGGAATAAGGATCATTAGATTGTTATCTGAACTTATCATAAAATGAATATCCTTAAGTCTCTTTTTTAATGTGCCTCAAAGTCTGGGATGTTTTGTAGATACTCCCCCAACCCGAGCCCAGAAAAACATCTTCCTAGATTTCTCAAGTGCTTACACCTGAGGTTCTATTGCCTTTTGTTTGCCCATAACATCGCCAATTTCCAAATTGAGAACATCCCACCATTCAGAAAAATAATCTTATACAACAATTGCAGGTTACCCTTGAGATGCCTACACTTCTCCAGGGCAGAAGGAACCTTGAATCTCTCCTTTCAGAGGTTGCCAGAAGCCTTGAGAAGACTTCAAGCCTCTTACAGAGTACCAAGTGCCTAGCTTCCAGCATTAATCTGTTGAGTTGGAAGGTATTTCTTGACTTTCCTTAGCTCTGTTTAACACAATTTAAACAAAGATCCCTTTCCTTGCACTCTGTCGTCCTAAGAGGAAGGCCTCTTTTCACACAGACCTGTGCCTAGTGGAGCTTCTAGGCTCAATAGACAATTGCATTCATTATCTCCAGTCCTGACTTTCAATTCAGAAAGGTGTCTTGTTTCAGTTCATTATCTCTCTGAGTTCCGGCTTCATCCATCTCCTTTAGAAAGTACCTTGCCTTTCTGCAAAGAGGCAGTGAAGACCAGTGGCCCTGTTCCCTGCCACAGGTGCTGGCAGCTCTTCACCTTGTCCGTGCGCATCTCCTCCTCCTCCCACTCCACACCTTGACTCCTCAGGCCAGAAACCCCTCTTCCAAATTCAAAAGGGTGCCTTCTCTCGTGAACCTGCCCTCTGGACAGACACTGTGAGCCCAGACACCGTGCTCCTCTCCATTTTATTTGCAAACCTAATTTTTTCATCTTTCATGGACAGCTTACCAAGTCTCTCCTCTCAAAAAGAACCCTGGTCCCCCAAATGATCCAGGCAGGGTGCTCAACTCACCTTTCTCTTTGCAGATCTCCCCTGCCAGAAGCCCATGCCTTTGAAACAAGAAAGAAATCAAGGCCAATGGTAGGCAGAAGAGAGGAACTAAGAAAGAAAAATAAAGATATGGGATCAAAGCCTTAAAACACAGGGCTGGTTGCATAGCACTGGACAGTGAATCAGGAACTTTCTGAGGTGGGAAGATTGTAGGCTCTTGGGCCCAAGACATGTATTTAACTGACATAAAAAGTCAATCCCATCCAACCTTAATTTCATGTAAAAATCAAGAAAGTAGATTTAAAGTTGTGTGTGGTAGGATTTTCCCCCACCTGTACCCTTATCGTTTCCTTGCCTTCTCTGAATGTGTGAAGACAGACATAAAAATAAACCCTGTTTAGTATAAAACATATCAAAGCATTGCCAGGAGCAATAGTTCATGTGTGTGAGTAGCAGAAAGCCATGTCTGCTTTGTAGGCTAAGAGGATCTAATGCGTCCCTCAGCCCCACAAGGAGAAACTTGAAGCCACATCTTGCAAGCCAGTCAGGAGCCAGAACCATCTGGATTCGTCACATACCTGCTGGTGCCGCCTCGCCACAGATCATCCTCAGCTGTACCTTTCTTCCCAGTTGCCAGTCCTGCCCTTGAAGGGATGCCTGGGGCTGCACAGAGATTGCTAAAAGGACTGGGGATCTCCATGCTGTGGAGTAGTGGTGAGGGAGAAGCCTTAAGATTCAGAATCTGATGGCTGCGGGGGTGTGAACTACTCCAGCAACTTGTCAGCCCACTCCTCAGTGAGGATTCTCCGATGTAGGCTTCTCTGTCTCCAAACATGCCTCTGTGAAGCTTTGCTTGCTTCCTCTCTGTACTTCCCAGTCCTGCGCCCTCCCTGGTTTTTCCTGGAAATGCTTCCAAATAAATCATTTTCACATGATTTTTTTTTTTTTAATCTCAAAAGCAGTCTCTAGAGAACCCAATCTAAAACATCCAAGAACAGAGCTAGGAGATGGCTTGACACAGGCAGTGAAACGAAGAAAGTAAAGAAACATGCTGAACCATCTTCTAGATCCCACGTCTTCTGATCCCAAGGGGGACAGGTACACATGTGAGCATGCCTTTCCTTTTGTGGTTTGATAAGGATTAGACTGCATACGCTGCAGATATCATAGACATAACTAAACCGTTGCCCATTATGTTTATACTGAAGAATATTTTCTTTATACTTTTCTAACAGTGATAATGAAAATTGCTTTGACAGGAAATAAAACAAATGAAACAAAGTTAAAGAAAATGGCACTAGAGAAGCCTCGCAAAGTAACTGCAGGAAGTAAGACAGGAAGAGGTAACAGGAATGGAGGGGCACTCCCTGTCTGAGTTTACATTTGGTCCTCCTGTCCTTGAGCTACACGGGCCAGCCCCAACCCTGTGGTGGGTTCAGGGTGCCAGTGTTTTATTTTTAATTCCTTTAACCATTCAACAAGCCTTGAGTAGATATCATTACTGTTCTTTTCACAGATGAGGAAAGGAGTCACAGAAATTATAATACCAATCTCCTCTTCCTGTGTCACAGTCACTGTGAGGATCAAATAAAAAAGGTATGTGTAAACTTTCTGAAAACCCTAATACATACACAATATTATCATTACATTGTTGTTATGAACCATGTTAATAGTTAGTATCAGGGCTGTGACTGCTCCTTAGTATAAATGACCTATCCCTGGTCAGAACAGAAAAGTTATATTCCAGGCCAATGATGCAGTGGAATGTGTTTATCTGGAGTAAACTAGCTTCTCTATACTTGGATGATACCTTCAATCTGAATTTAATGTTTCTTTTCTCTAGTACCTAGCTATATGTGGAGGACTGACTACGGGTCTTCTTAAGAGGTTCAGGAGGATAACAAGTGATGTATCTTTTGGCTGTGCCTTAGCCACCATGGTCATGGCTTGAACAGTGTCTCCCCAAATGAGAATCAACTCCTAGCACCAGTACCAGCAAATATGACCTTATTGGGAAATAGGGTCTTTGTGGATGATCAAGTTGAGATCATTAGTGTGGGTTCTAAACCAAAATGACTAGTGCCTTTATAAAAAGGTAAAATATAGATAGAGAAAGACATGCATAGAAGAAAGACAACGTGGAGGCACAAGAAAAAAAAATCGTCTATAAGCCAAGAAACACCAGAGGCTACCAGAAGCTGGGATAATGGAACAGAACGATTCTCCCCCATATTTCTCAGAAGGAAAAACCTTGATTACAAGTTTCTAGCATCCAGAACAGAGACAATACATTTCTGTTGTTGGAGCTACCCAGAACATACTATTTTGTTATAGTAGCTCTAACAAATGAATATAATCTCCTACTGATAAGATGTTCCCGTCCCTGATAATGGGGCAGGATACTCTTATAAACTTCCCTTGGGTCAAAGCCATAGGGGAAAAGAGTGGGAAAGAATTCTGATCCAAGGACACTCAACCCACAGCCTGGCTCAGAGACACAGCTCAGGACCATCGCCTTCTGTCAGACCATAGGAAGCTGTAATGGGTGGTGGGTGCTGACACACATGTGTATCTTTTAGTAATTCTACCCTTCTTTTCTCTGGTAATTTGACTGTTTGTTTTTTTTTAATTCCTTTGCAGTGGTCTGAATATGATGATTTAAAAATGAAACTTCAGTCTCTGGAAAAGAATAATACCTAGTAAAGTATTGAATTAAGACATTTTTTTGGAGGCTCCAATTCCTTGTCTTATTGGAGTAGTTGAGTTAAAAATTGTTTTATTTAAAAGCCTTAAGCCTTTAGGCGCAAGGTGGAATTGTTTTGGAACCCTGTTACAAAGTATAACTCCCAAAGAAAGAAAAAGGTGAAAGCAAATGGAAACAAATGGCCGTATTGGTGGCACTGAAGCTTGGAAGGCGTAGAGGCCTCGTCCTGAAGGGCCTTGTACACCATCCTACACGGCTGACTTCCAGAGGAAGGGGATGGCCCATGCTGACACACATGACTAAGATATCAGCAGGGTGGAGAGTGGATCACAGAGGAACAAGACCAGAAGGTGAAAGATTGAGAGACTGTCTTGGGAAGATGGGCATGAGATGATGATGTCCTTATCTAGTGTATCTAACCTACAGCCCACAGACTGAATACAGCCCTGAACACCAAGTAATGTAGTGCCACAAGATTATATATTTTAACATCGGATGTGATTTTTAGAGATACACTTCATGAGTTGATTGGACAGTGCTCCCACCCAGCTGTGCGGACCAGGGAACACTGCAGCACCAACTCTTGCTGTTGCAGCACAGCTCCTGCAGCACAGTCAGTCTAATGCAAGCCCAGTGTATCAGATGTACACGCATTTGAACAATTTGGCGAGTAAAATTATCAACAATGGTATTTCAACCTACCTGCACATATGTGTATGCCTGAAAAGATAGGCATTTATTGTTATTTAACAGACAATTCCTTTTCACTCAGTAAGACCCATGGTCTAGATGAAGACCAGTCCCTAAAGGAGAGAGAGGAAGAGAACTCAGTGAAGAGACATTTGGGTGATAACAATGAGTGGATTTGGTGAATGAGGAGCCTCCCTATAAGAGGGGAGGGGGGGCATATTCTGTAAGGTGACTGCCCTGTAGAGGCAAGTCCCTAGGGCTAGGGACCAGAGCAGCAGCATCCCTAACCTTTATCACTCCAAGAATCATTTCCTGGCACTTAAAATGCAGGTCTACAGTGCAGCCCCATCCCTTGGGCTAACAGCATAAACCATTCCCACTCCCCAGCAACAGAAAATCTTCTCTCCAGGCTGCTGCCTGCTGGGAGACTCATGCTAGAGCTGTTTTTACATGTTTGAGAGAGTCACATCCCACATAATCATATATGTGACAAAGGCCTCGGCTACAAGCAACATTAATGAAGACAAATGAATCAGCCAAATGCTGCAGCCTGAACAGCAGCTCCCAGGGCCCTGCCTTGTGCACACAGCGGGGCTGCACCGCAGAGGTGTGGGGGTGGCTCACTTCTGGCTACAGTTCTCCTCTAGCCTGATGGAGATGTATGAGACATCTCCTACCCAGGGGGCCTCAGCAGGCTTGAATAGCCCAGTTAGAAAGTAAGCAGTCTCAGGGGAATTTGAGGGAATTTTAAGAAGATTTTATGAAAGCTATCTTAAGGAGATATGCATGCAGAGATTAGTTGGGCAGAGAAGTCTGATGGTGGTAAATAAACAAGCTCTCTGCTTTCTGGTGTGATTGCTGATTGGGAAAGCAGCTATTGGAATTTTAATTCTAGCCAGTGAGTAAGTACACCCTAAAAGACATCTTGCAGAGTGCCTTGGATCAGTCCTGCACCCAAGATGCTTTTGACTTGTAACTGAATATGCTGCTCCCCTTTAAGGCCACTTATATTATTCTTCCCACCCATATCTCTTTGTGACAGATGAGAAAACATTCAACTTTGAGACTTTTACTGCAATCTGTCATGAGGAGATCAGAATCAAGAAAGAGAAAGAAAGAAAGAAAGAAGGAAAGAAAGGAAAGAAAGAAAAGAAAAGAAAAGATAAAAGGTAGGGGCTTATAAATCAAGTGATATGAGCCTGGAGCTGGGGAAGTAACTGTGATTCTGCCCTGGCTCTTGGTGGCAGGGATATCCAGCAGGCCCCACACCAACAGGCTATGTTCTGTTGCTTAGAATCAGTGCAGACAGCCTCCAGAGGTGGAAAGACAACAGTCCCAAGTGTTCTGGCAAGAAGACATGGAAGAACTGCCCAGTTAATGGGCAGATGAGCTTGGGAAAGCATTCAGACCCAGCAGCAGGAAGAATCCCACCATCATGTTGGCATTTGTTCCATGTAATTCAAGAGATTGCAGGAAGGACAGCCTCTCTCTCCCAAGGGTTGTCTCCTACAGGCAGCAGAAAAAAAAGCCCCTTATCAGAGACTCTGTGAAACACTCGCAGAAACTTCCTGACACATATTAAACAAGCCAGTGTTATGAGGTCACTATGAAGGGGTTTGAAACTAATTCATCAGTGGAGAGATCAGTGGATAGCAGTGAGACAACAGAATGAAAACTTGGCAAGTCAGTAAAAAGTCTGGCAGTGTTCAGGGTTCAGACAGTGAAATAACACCAGGTTTCATCCGCTGAGACAGAAATTTCAATTGTACCTTAAAGGACAGAAAGTTAGGTGACAGATCCACTGTCACCAGCCATCTTCTTCAGAGAATTTTCCTCCAATGACACTCGGATTGATTTTCCATTCCTAAAAGGAAGAAAAAGAAGTGGAAGTGATCTGAAAACATATCTTTTAATAAAGCCAGGCAAGATGCTGGAAGGATACACATAAACAGGAGCAATAAACAACAAAAATATCATGAGAAAATGAGTTTTCAATTCTTATCGAGTGACTATCAGTCCATAAAATAGAATGAAATTACTTAGCTAGCAGCCACACCCTCAGATTCCTGTGTTTCTGCTGGACTCATCTCTCAGGCTCAGATTGCCTCCTCTTCTAAAACAAAGGCAGGGCCGAATGAACTCTGAGCTTCCTTCTGGCTACAGATGCTGCCAATCATTGTTATTCCAGCTACCCCAAGAGGTGGCTAGGTCAGCATTAGCCAAGAGCTGGCAATAACTGTGTTGTAGGAGGATAGAGAGTAGACACTCCTTAGTCAGGCTAGATCTGACTTCCCTCCTTGTCAATCTATATATCAGAATCCTTGCAGAACATAAGCAAACTGTGCCACATTATTTTAGAGGGCTTATTTGGTAGTTTGTGTGTATACTGCTGGGATTGAATCCAGGGCATTGAACATGCAAGGCAAGCTCACTACCACTGAGCTGTATCTATAGGTCTATATAACATTTTGTACTTGCATAGCTCTATGCCAGCCTTGTGGTAGCTGAAAAAGTGCACATCCTTATGTTTCCTGGAATGGTAAAAAGCACTCAGTCCTTGAAGTCGGAAAGAACTGGGTTTGAATCCCTGCTGTACCGTAACTGGTAGTGTGAATCTAGATTAGCCACTTCCACACAATAGGATAATAGACAGGGAGAATGCAGTGGCTTGCTAAGAACTCACATAGAAAGATGGCCATAATCTATTATTTTGCAGTAAATAGCAGATAATAGCCCAAAGGCAGAAGCCACACATGTGTCTATTGATGTATAAATAGTACACATATATAATAAACTATTATTCAACCAAGAACAGCAATTTTGACACATCCCTCAATGTGGATGAACCTTGTAGACATGACACTAAGTGAAGTAAACCGGTCACAAATATTGTTATGATTCTACTTAGATAAGGTATCTGTATAGAGACAGAAAGTAAAATAGCGGTTAACAGGGGTTTAAGGGAGGAATTGATGCTTAATGGGCACAGAATTGCAGTTAGGAGGAAAGGAATTGTGGAGATAGATGGGAGTGATAGCTGGAGAACAATGAAGGTGTACTTAATGCCGCTGAACAACACACTTAAAATTATTGAAATGGTAACTTTTGTGTGTGATATATATTTTACCACATGTACAAGAGTAAATGGCAGGACTGGAGAGCTGCTCTTGAAACGTGGTCCCCAGGATAGCGTCACATCTCCTGGACCTTGTTAGAAATTTTAGAGTATCAAGTGCCATGTAGCACTCTGAATCAGCCAGTATTTTAACAAGCTGCCCTACATTGTCCTGATGAATTTAATGTTTGAGAATCACTGTCTAGAGGCCCTGTTTCTGAAATTCTGCTGCAATGCCCACGCCACATCTGTGTCAAGTCAAAATCTCTCAGGGTAGAGTGTAGGCATTACTTTTGGGGAAACTCCCCACCTAATTCCAGTGTGCATCAAGGGAAAGGACTTCAGAACATGAGCCAGCTGTTCCCCCAGAGCCACAAGCCACAGAAAGGGAACAGCTTCTTGTCACAGCCCATCTAGACGGGAGAGGTCAGCAAGCTACTTGGGGGTCAAGGAGATCTGAGAGACTTCCATTTTCTGAAACTTCTGATGATTTAAGGTAAAGAACTGGTCAAACAGTATCTCCAATATGATCTATTTCAGAAATTTATGTCTAATAAATTAAAGCTTTTAATGTGAAAAAATGTAAAAACACATGAAAGCCAATATAACCATCCTTTTCACAAGTTAATAGCAGATTAATTTTTATACTTTTTGGGGGGGGGTCTTTTTGAGACAAGGTCTCCACTGTGCAGTTCAAGCTAGCCTTCAACTCACTTTGTAGCCCAAGCTGACCTCAAACTCACAGTGATTCTCCTGCCTCAGCCTCCCAAATGCTGGGATTACAGGTGTGTACCACCATGTCTGGCTTAGAATTGATTTTTAAAAGTAACAGGCCTCATACTAAGCTTGGGCATAAAAGCAGATAATTATTTTCATCTTTCATGCCATAAGCACATCTTGGGAGATAAACACTTGAAACCTTCTATGAATGTGAGATCTCTGGATGCCCCCCTTTGCTATCCTCCTAGGACAAATCCAAGAGGACCTCTGAAAAGAAATCCTAATTATGGTGCCTGGAGCATCTGTGTGGTCAGGCTACAGGGGTGACCATCATCAGTGTGTCTTGCAACAGCCTGCCAGAGGGGGCCCCAGGTACACTAGAGGGCGTGCAGACAAGCTGCTGTAGATATTCCCATGCAGTGCCAGACTCCTGCACACATAGTCATTATTCACGCCAGGGCTGGCCACCTGTCTGGCCTCTGGCTTCCTCTGCCCTCAGGCACTTGGCTGTTAGCAACAGGAAGTGAAGAAATGACAATCACAAGATATCCTCTTTTCACCTTATGGAGGGAATTCCTTTAGTCTCATTCATAGATATACAGGTGGGGAAGCAAGTGGAGAAACACTTCTCCTGTGCATTTCCTACAACACCGTGGCTTTGTAAAATGTCGCAAATCTTCTGTCCCCAGAGACTAGACTGGCTCAGAATTCAAACTCCATACGATAGAAAGCTTTAGGAAGAGGAAGAAGCAATCCTGGGCTGAACATCAATAATTGCCCGAGTAGCAGGTGCACCAAGGAGGAGCTGCAGTTGATGCCCATAACACACGCTTTCTCCTTTGGGAGGCGGACTCGGGGAGACAAAGGGATCATCAGCTGCAAGCCCCAGAGGTCTCAGAGGGGGCCGATGGCAAGGTCTGTGGTGTCCAAGCAGGGCAGGCATCCTGGGCACCACAGGACAAAGAGGTGAGTGTGGGAAGCGGGGAGGGCAGGGAGCAGCACAGAGGAAACAGCTGTCTTTGTCCTCATTGGCTTTGTCTTAGTCCATGGCCACCCACAGCCTTTTATTTCCTGGAGATTCACTCTCAAGCCTCACACCATTCCCTTATTTCCATCCCCACCCTCAAGAGCAAGAAAAGCTTCCAGGAAAAAAGGGACATACCCTGGCAGATGTGGGTGAGGCTGGAGTTCAAAGCCCAGGGACAACTCTTACATCTCACAGGCAGAGAAACGGTGTGCTGTAAGCACACAGTGTCCTCCACCAGGGTAGAGTCTGAGTTCTCTGTCATAAGTGATGGGCTGTCCTCCTTCTGGGTCCTGAGTCTCTGCAGCCTACAGAAAACATGAGGAGGAAGAAGCAGGGAGAAGGTGTGGAGCGGGGAGAGAAGGGGGAGAATGAGCACATGGGCTGCCCAGCCTACAGCCCCATGGCACCAGGGTGGTAAACACTTGGAGACAGGCCAGCCGTCTGGCGCCTGGAATCTTCCCCATCTCGCTAGCCAAGATTCAGACCTGTATATTCTGGGCTCTTTCTGCCCCATTTCACCCTGGCTTTAAATTACCCAGACCTGGCTTGGGATATTCTGTCTAAAACTTTCCCCTAAAATCTAGATTGCAAATACAAAGTATACAATCTTAGATTCAGATATCTGAGGACTAAATGCCAGACAGTGTGGACTTAGCAGTCTGGCTGCATACCATTTCAGCCAGCCCATCAGATGAATACACAACAGCACGCTCATCCCAGTACACAGAAGACAGCAATAGTCCAGATAAATTAGATAGACCCAGCTGGAGCCAGCTAGCCTCAGCAATTTATGGAAAATAAGGCAAACACAGAGGGTCTGAGATGCCTCATAGAATCAGTCCTGAGGTTGCCTAATTGCTTCTTCGTTGTTTCTGCAACTACTGGTTTCAAAATCCACCCCTCACTTCTGTAAGATGGAAGACTATTGAGGAAATACAATCTGAGCCAAATCCCAGAATCTTGGGACAGGTCTGTAGTAACAGTCACAGTAATAAAAATGATAGTCAACACTGCATACTTACTATGTGCTGAGCATAGCTATGCTTCACCTGGACTTACGTGGGGAATTTGATCTCTGGATCAAGATAAAGACCATCCTCACTGCAGCACAGCCTCAGGCAGCTTCCAGGAGGACAGTGTCTCCCCTCTCTGCTAGTCCTGTGATGCAGAACCATTTTGACTTTTTGATTTCAACACTCTAGTTCAAGTCTTGGCCAGCTGTGGAACTTGGCCCACTTCTACTCATCACAGGAGAGAGAAAGGCCTACAGAGAGTAGCAAGGCCATGATGGCACCATTACGTGAGACAGCCTTTAGGAGAAACATGAAAAGGGGTGGCTGTGGAAAGCTCCAGGAGGCAAGAACTGTCTGCATGTAGCTATTGTTCTCTAGCGAGCCGTGAGGCGGCCTCTCATTCTGTGAAAACACAACATATAAGAAGCCTAAATGAAAACCATTTAGAAGTTATCACTGTTTTTGTTATAAAACAGTCACTCTGGATACCTTTCTGTAAAATATGATTTTGAAATTAAATTTATTAAAACCTCATCAAGCACATATGCATTGCATGGAGCACTGTGTAAGCAGCGGTACAATGCCGGTTTTTATGAACCTTGTTTTTCTAGAGAACAGCCTGAGGAGAGGGAGCAAAAGAGGAAATAAAAATAGTATAGTGCAGCTGCGGACTGAGCACTGGCTGTGCAGCTGAGCATAGGGTGCCCCGAGTGAGCTTTGGCAGCACCATTGCAGGCTGTCCTCACAACAGACTCTGGGGAGGCATTTCACCCCCAATTTACAGATGAGGAAATGAAAGTGCAAGGAAGTCCCGTGAGGCCTTCACTATCAGACAGCCAGTAAGAACAGAGCTTGCCTGGTGTGTAGGCTTGCCTGATTCCAAATACCAGAGTTACAAACAAGGTAGGATCAAGATGGTCTCCAAAGTTATTGTGCATGATTCCATAATTACGAATGTGATTGCAGAATCCCGCTTTCTTTTGAGTCTCCTTGTTTTGTCAGAACAGTCTGTTTTAGATACACCTTCAGCAAAGGCTGCCCTCAGTTGCAAGGAGACACTCAGACACTGAGAACTAGCCCAACTGGCGGGTCTGGGAATAAAGTCACTTCTAGAACCATGCTTCAACCATCACAGCTCAGCTAGAAAGACTCACATGCCTGCGCTGCTCCAAGTGAGCTGTGCCTAAAGCTGCTGTGTCTAACCCACTGGTGTCCTGATTATAGAAACAGCCACACCTCGCTGGCTCTCTGAGTCTTCGAGAAGTCAACACTCAGTTCTCCAGAAGCCTCCTGAAGATCAGATGAGTTGATCTCCATCTGGATTCAGCATTCTAATGAGCCAATGCCAATTCCAGGTCTGGCATGTCTTAACAACTGAGCTCTCAAGCCCAAGATGCTCAAATTGTTACCTCATGTTAGGAAGGACCCAAAGCTGCAAGCAATTAACACCGCATCTGTAAGACTGGGAAGAGAGGACAGAGAGAATGGGGGCTAAAAACAACTATTTTGGTCCATATGGAAAATTGGTATGTTGTCTGCATGGTAAAATTCTTTCAGATATGTTTTAAACCTTACACTTTTTAAATTGTGGTTTTAAACATTATTCAAGGAAAAGCAGCATGATTTGTTTAACATCAGGAAAAGAGTAAGTAAACTAAAAAGTTGCTAGAACCTTCCGTAAAGAAATTAACATCATGAATGAATGGGGTATTAGTACAAATTAATCAAACTGCATTAAATACAACTTTCATCAGTCATGGAATCTCAACACTCAAGGGATTTGGGAAATCATCTGTCCCAAGAGCAAGAGTTATGGAAAATAAATGGGCAGGCAAGAAAATCCTTCAAGAAAGGAACAAAGACACAAAGAGAAGCACAGGAGTAGAAAGCACAGGGGTTTGTGCACACAAGTCTGAGTTCAAAGCTGTGTTCTGCTTTTGACAGCAGGATCAGTCAGGCTGTGTCGTTTGATCCTCCTAAGCAAAAGTTTGCCCCTCTATAAAATAAGTACGTTACTCAGAATTTTAAGGGAGACCACACAAATATATAGCAGGAGGTTAGAGGGTGCCTGGGACATCAGTGCTCAGTAAATATTAGCTCTATAGAAAAAGAAATCCAGAAACAGAATCTAAGTAGTCAGGCTGACACACTATAAATTACTATGATTGTTCACTTTATCTTTCTATTAAAGAAAAAACAAAATTCAATATGTACCTCAGCAATTACATTTCTTACCACAAGAACAAGGAATAGTACTCATGGCCATCTATGAAATGAAAAATGATCTTCATAGAAGAGAGACACCCTTCAGCTACCGGTACAGCCAGATGTGACAAGAGATAAGAGGACCCACGGAGGTAGCAAATCTTTTACCACTTACCAGGGTAACTGAAAGTCACCTCCAGGGAGCCTTGATGTATAGCTGTTCACGGTTTAGAACTCTGGGCAAATTCCAAGCCAAAAAGTTCCAAATAAGCGTGTGCTCTGTTATAGTCTGGAGATGGAACCAAGGCTGCAGTAACAGGGACCGCCTGGGAAAAGTCAAAGTTAATAGATATGATATAATTCCAGGTGTGTATGTGTTTAAATCCTTACATAAATTTAGGTTAGCCTTATGGTACTTATCAGTTATGCAAAAGGGAAGGATGCAGAATCACAGAATTGAAGGTCCTGGGACAAAACAATTTCTGAAACTGTTATTGGTCTTAGAGATCTTGGCTAAGAGACATAATCTCTTTGACCTTCAGTTTTCTGTGTAAGATGCTGTGAAGATCCCCACAGTACCTGCCACAAATTCTTAACTAAATAGGCATTTTCCCCCATTTTTTCTACATTTATCCTACTAATAAACAGTTCTGTTTATTAATAAACTTTGTTTTATTTTAGGGTGTGTTTATGTGTGTGTGCGCCTGTGTATGTTTTAAGACAGGCTTTTGCTATGTAGGTTAGGCTGGTCTTAAGCTCACTGTGTAGTCCAGGTTGGCACCTAACTCTCCTCGATCCATCTGCCTCAGCCTCCTGAGTCCTGGGATTATAAATGTGGGCCAGCATGACTGGCTTGAACAGCTGTATTTTTTAGTTTCTCATTCAAATGCACAGTAATATGAAGTCTAGCTGCTCGGCCAATACCAAGAAGCAGACAACGCTTTCTATTCAGCAATGACAGATCTCAATTACAAACACAGCATTTATGAGTGAATTAGCTCTGGAATTCTAATTTCCAAACTCCCAAACCTGTGGTGGCAGAAGAGACAGCAATACCGAGAAAGAAACCAAGGTCTTCATCCCATTTCTGCAACTAGCTAGATTTTCACTTCAGGCAAACATCTAAAATGAGGGCCTTGGTCAATATCTAAAGTACCTCACAGCTCTCAAAATTCCATGTTTCTATACTTTGGTTTATGCTTTTTCTTAAAACGTGTGAGTAGGTTCTGCTCCAAAAGCCACAGAGCCCTGCTCCATGCCTCCCACCTTGGTTCAAGCCATACTTTGCTCCCTAAGTTGGAAGCTCTGCTACACAGCAATTGCACAAATGGAACATACATAGGCCAGACTGCCTGCTGTTACTGCTGTACCTTCCACTTCTTCTGGGGATCAGCTGAGGCCATGTGAGCTGGGAATAAATGTGTCTGCTGGGAAGAAATGATTTTCCTGGAAATAAATGGATCTGCCATGAAGAAATGATTTTACTGTGAAAACAAGTTTGTTGATGAGTTTAAACCAACAAAAATTCTCTGAAGACTGTTTTATACCTAAATGATGCAGCATGAATTAAAAAACAAACCATGACCTCTCATACCTCTTCAAAATTTGGAATTCTGTGACTGATAAAAAAAATATTATCTCACAAAAAAGTTTGGAGGCTTGCACTCTGATGTGAAGGTGTTATTTTCTTCTGAGTCTTTTTTCCTTGGTTTGTAGATGATTATCTCTCTCTGTGTCTCTATGTGGTCTCTCCCTTTGCATCTGTTCAGATTTCTTCTTCTTATGAAGACACTAGTCATACAGGACGAGCGCCTACTTAATGATCTCTTTTCAACTGAATCACCTCTTTAAAGACCCTGCCTCTGAATGCAGTCATATTCTGAAATACTGAGGATTATGATTTCAATGGATAAATATTAGAGGGAGGAAGGTCAAAGTTCAGAACATATTGCTCACTAACTGTTTATGAATGAATGATGGAAGGTGAAGTGGATGAATACCAAGTGATCGACAAATAGTTGACAAATTGAGTAAATTTACACAATCACTTGTAGACACTGTGTTGTGTTGTAAATTATCCCAAGAAGTTTTAAATTACATATTTTAATTCACCTTACATAACTTTTAAAAAATTATTTCTCATCAGATTCTATCAAGCTAAC